ATTTATTTACTTTGAGAGCGAGCCAGCATAAGCCAGGGAGGAGCAGAGAGAAGGAGAGATAGAACCCCAAGCAGGTTCCGGGCTACCAGCGCACGTCCCGATGGGGGGCTCGAACTCACAAACCATGAGATCAGGACCCGCCCTGAGATCAGAGTCAGATGCCTAAGCGGCCATGCTACGCAGGCGCCCTTGGCCATTTCTATCCCAACAACCATGGCAGTGGAGTGTTTCCCCTTCTAATTAGTTGTTTCCTATTCCTATTTTTCTTTGCAACAGAAGTATTTTTTTTAATAACATGTCTTTTTGTAAAAAAAAGAAAAAAGGAAGTGACTGGAACTGGAGATTTTAAAATGCCATTTTGTGTTTTGTGATTTAATTGTAAATACTTATATTTTAAATCAGAGGCATGTGGGAGGTGGTGGAAGGAAAGGACGCTTGCTCAAGGAAATATGCTAAAAGTATTTTGCAGTGATTGTTTATATTGCTAACGCTAGAAAACAGTGTCTGAAAATAAGTTTTCAGACTTGTAAAGGGTGAAAGCTAAATAGCTAATTTATAATGTTCCAATCTCTTAACATCCCTCAGGGAATTTGAGTGTCAGTCAAAAGGTAGCTTTCTCTTCCAGAAATGGACTCAACCAGCACCTCCCGTAACCTCAGCACCTGGCATAGTGCTGGGAGCAGTTGAGAGAATGCTGAGCACTAACCAACAGTGTGGCACTCAGGATCCGTGCCCATGTGCCTGTGTCTTTGTGGTGGTGGCTGTGGCTCTGTGTGTGTGTGTGTGTGTGTGTGTGTGTGTGTGTGTGTATTTGTGGTTTTCTGTCTCCTCTTCCAGTTTTGTTTTATGGGAATCCAGCGTCCAGTTTGGGGGGTATAAGGTGCTCCATGGATGTGGTTACCTGATTGATCTTGTCTTCTTGGGGATCTAGTCTTTTTAAACATTTTTAAAAATATTTATTTATTATTAGGCGGAGGGGGGGGGGTCAGAGAGAGAGGGAGCCACAGAGTCCAAAGCAAGCTCCAGGCTCTGAGCTGTCAGCACAGAGCCCGATGTGGGGCTCGAACCCACGAGCTGTGAGATCATGACCTGAGCTGAGTCAGACACTTAACCGACTGAGCCACCCAGGTACCCCCTTGAGTATCTAGTCTTGAGGAACACAGATGCTAGTCTTGGGTAGCCGTCAGGGTACTGGGAGAGAACAACTAGAAAATGTGTAATTAAAGTCATGGCATATTCAATGTTTTAGGAGGCTACAAAGTGGGGAAAGGACCTATGACGTGGATGCCCGCTGTCATAGGGGAAAAGCCTTCTGAAGGAGACAAAACCTGGGGTGGGTTAAGAAGAACAGAGTTACAGTAAAAAGGAATAGAGATTGTGCAGATAGAGGGTAGCTAACCTTTAGCTCATTAATACTTAGATGAAGAGTGAAGCAGAAAAAAAAAAACAAAAAAAAACCCAACAAAACCAAGAGCCTGGGCGGTAGGAAGTTTACTGTCAAAGATTCCTGAGTTCCATGGTTACAAACTAGGCTGCCAGGTTGGGGTTTTAAATACAGCACTTGGAATAAATTGTCTGGCTGAACAGACGAAATGTTGAATTTACGCACTGTATGAGCTGTGACTCTATTTCTTGAATGTCTGAAAAAGCATTTTTAATTCAAAGGTAATTAATTCCAAGAATTTAACAGCCACAGTCAGAAAATGACACTTTGAGTCATAAATGGATTAAATATTTAAGGAATTCATCTTTCTTTGTACTGTTAGAGAATTAGTCAGGCTTAATAAAAAGCTTAACAAGCTTCTTAAGGTAACTTGATAAATGACAGGGATATAACATGTAAATATACCTGTAAAAAGTTTAATTTGAACCAGTAGAGTCCAAATTTAATGTGCTTTGCTGACGACATCAGATAGATTCAGCCCAGTCTCTTCCTTTCTCTCTGAAAGCTGCAATAATCAACTCGTGAATATTTCCAAAGCATGTTTTCCTTTGAGGATACCCATCCATTGACCCCACTTCATAAAAACAATTCTGTCTTTCCTCATTTATATCCAGGTACGGCCTTGCTGCATAAACATAAATTATGCATACTCATTTGTGATCTGACAAAATTTTAATATCCAAGAACATAATAGAAGTTCCCACTGTTTTCAGAGACGACTCTAGATAGACTGCACCTCGCCAGTCTGCGTGTGTGTGCCTACACTGTACATGTGTATTTATGATGGAAATTGACACCTGTGTTAGTTTGCTTCTCTATTAGTCTGGTTGGCCTGCTCTAACAACGTCTATAGCCTGAGGGGCAGAGGCTTAAACAACAGAAATTAATTTTCTCACCTTTCTGGAGGCTGAAAGTCCAAGATTAAGGTGCTGGAAAATTCAATTTCTTTCTTTTTCTTTAATTTTTTTTAATGTTTTATTTATTTCTGAGAGAGAGAGAGAGACAGCATGAGCAGGGGAGGGTAAGAGAGAGAGGGAGACATAGAGTCTGAAGCAGTCTCCAGGCTCTGAGCTAGCAGTCAGCACAGAGCCTGATGCGGGGCTCAAACCCATGAACCGTGAGATCATGACCTGAGCTGAAGTCATACGCTTAACTGTCTGAGCCTCCCAGGTACCCCTGGAAATTTCGGTTTCTGAAAAGGCCTCTCTCCTAGGCTTTCAGATAGCTGCCTTCTCACTGTGTTCTTTTCTCTGTGGGCACAGCCATAGAGGAAGCAGTCCACGGTGCTTTCTCTATTCTTTTTTTAACCTATGGGGTTAGGACCTCACCATTATGGGCTTATTTAATCTTTAGGTACTTCCATAGAGGCCTTATTTCAAATACAGCCACGTTGCGGGTTACATGACTTCAACATATGAATTTGGGGGGGAAATACTATATATTTGTAACTATATATCATTTTAAATATATAGTTATATTATTTATATATATGATAGTATTTATATATAATCTATAACTGTTGTTGTATCAAAATACTGTAGATCTGGTGGCTTAAACAACAGAAATTTATTTTCTCATGGTTTTGGAGGCTGGGAAGGCCAGGGTGAGGGTGTCAGAAGTTTAGCCTCATCTGAGGGTTTTCTCCGTGGCCGGCAGCTGGCCTCCTTCTCACCGGGTCCTCTCTTGGCCTTTCCTCGGTACTCACACATTCCTAGTGTTTTCTCTTCTTCTTCTTCTTCTTTTTTTTAATGTTTTGTTTATTTCTGAGAGAGAGAGAGAGACAGACAGACAGACAGACAGACAGTGTGAGCAGGGGAGGGTCAGAGAGAGAGGGAGATAAAGAATCTGAAGCAGGCTCCAGGCTCCGAGCTAGCTGTCAGCACAAAGCCAGATGCGGGGCTCGAACCCACAGACTGTGAGATCATGACCTGAGCCGAAGTCAGAAGCTTAACCGACTGAGCCACCCAGGCGCCCCTGTTTTCTCTTCTTCTTATATGGATACCAGGCCTATTGGATTAGGACCCTATCTATATGACCCCGTTTAAGCTTCATTATCTCTTTAAAGACTCTGTGTCCAAATATAATCACATTCTAAGGTGCTGGGGTTAGGGCTTCAACATAAATTTGAGGCGTAGGGGAGAACAAAATTCAGTACATAGCAGTATCTCATAGAGATTTCTCAGTGGTTATTCACTATCTGTCTACATACAATAAAAACGTGCCTTTCTTGCAGTTTATATATGTATGTAAGTTTTATGCCAAGCTTTAAAGTTGTAAAATTATAGGCTGCGCAAACATCCCACTTTAATTATATGTGTAAAGTGTTTGCCTTTACAGCATGTAATTTATTGTATTTGCCACAACATGGAATACCACACACATTACCTCATGACACCTTGTATAACAACTTCCCAAATCCCACTGAATAAAGACTTAATTTACAATTGGAAGTACAATTATAACTAAAATTCTAAATTACTTGTAAAAACAGCTGTGACTAAATAAATTTTTACAACATTTCCTACTGGTTTCATAAGAATCCAGCTTCTTAACCAGACTTGACACCAATTAGAATATTGAATTCTACATATGACATTCTCCGTATGACATAAAATAATTAGTTTCAGATAAAAGAGAGAACCATACACCTACCCTCTATATTTATAGCAAAGCTGAATGAATTTATTGAAATGTTCTAAAGATCTGAAAGAGTACGTGATTTATCTACATGAGGAAATTATTTGAATCTGTTATGTTACCTACTTTACCCTGAAATTTCCAGCATCATTATTAGATTTGGTTCTGAGCCAAGGTAGTTCAGTAATATGAGGGATTAAAATTTTTTTAAATATTTATTTGTTTACTTTTGGGAGACAGAGAGAGAGCACCAGTGGGGAGGGACAGAGAGAGAGAGAGGGAGACACAGAATCTGAAGCAGGCTTGAAGCTCTGAGCTGTCAGCACAGAGCCCAACGAGGGGCTTGAACTCATGAACTGTAAGACCGTGACCTGAGCTGAAATTGGATGCTTATCCAGCTTAGCCACCCAGGTGCCCCAAGACATCCCCAAGCAGGATTTAAGATGTGCTTTAGGAGGTGTATTTCCCCATCTTTGTGCACATGCTAGTTTCTCGGCCTCAGTACATTTTCTTCCTTACCTATGCCCCTCCACCCCCTTCAACCTTAAAAGGCAGATTAAAGCTTTTCTTCAAAGAGGCCTTCCCTGTGCCTCAAGCTGGGTTAGTTCCCAGTGTTCAACCTTGATAGCAAATAGCTCTTACTAGTTACTGCAATTATTATTGTTAGCCATTCAGCAACTGGCCATAAAGTCCATGACAGCAAGGACTCTCTCTGTCCTGTTTACTGAGCTAGCACTAAGCGAATCACAGAGTAAGTGTTCAAGACGGATGACTCCATTCATTTAAATAGTTACTTGTTGAGAGCTTCTTTAAAATTTTTTTTAAAATTTAAATTTAAGTTAGCATGAAGTGTAATATTGGCTTCAGGAGTAGAATTCAGTGATTCATCCCTTACATACAACTAAAGTTTCTTCTGCATGAGCTATTATGGAGATAGCGAACATGAATAAGACCCAGTCCGTTCCATCAGTGTCCCCTTGGTACAAATAGGACATTTGCATGTGAAGCGGCAAAAAATCTAGAAGACAAGTTGAGAATGGGTTGGAAGCTGAAGACGAGACTGGCTGGCGGAAGTTCAAAGCTTTAGCCAACCTCTCCTGGGTTAGTCTGACCCAGGATATTATTCAGACTATCTCACTTTCAAGGTGTATATTGTTATCAATGAATTTGCTATTCTAGTTTGTTTTGGTAGGAAGAGGGGAAGTTTCCAAGATGCAATTCTTGGTCCAAATACTGCTCCTCCTCAGACTTGCTGAGCCATCCTGGTATAGTCACGTTTATGAGCTTCATAATCATTAGATGTAAAATAAAAACAAGTAATTTCTACTTAACAAGTCTGTTACAAAAATTGCAATTCATGACATATGAAAGTACTTTATAAATTTAAAGTACCACACAAGTGTTAGCTATTATATCTTTCCTTCTCTCTCTCTCTCTCTCTCATGTTGGGAAAAAGAGAATGACGATTTCATCACTTGTCATGCATGGGAATAAATATCTAATTCACATCTGCCTTTTTTTTTTCTTTTTGGAGTCACACACTGGATAGAGTTTCATGTGGAGTGAGATTTGTTGTGTTTTTCATTTGATGATGTCAGAGATTTATTACACAAACTTGTTAAAGTTCTTTTCTCACGATAGACTCAGAAATGTGTTGGTGGAAAAATTTTCATTTTTCACATGAGGAATTTGGCACACAGAAATTAATTGATGCAGGAAGTTAATTGATAGACATGCACTGCCAATCCTGGTTGTTTCCTTATAACACCTTACGAAGAAACTTGAAGGGGAGTGGGAGGTCCAGGCTTTCAGTTCTGGAATGAGTAAGTCACAGATAAAAGGCACAGCACAAGGAATGGAGTCAGTGATATTTTAATTACGATGAATGGTGACAGATGGTAGGTATACTTGTGAGTGTAGCATAATGTATAAACTTGCCAAATCACTATGTTGTACACCTGAAACTAATATAACATTGTGTGTCAGCAGTACTTAAAAAAAAGAAGAAATTTGAAACTAATGTAACATTGTATGTCAACTATACTTGAAAAAAAGGAGACATTTGAAATAAAGTAATAAAAATTCACTAGTTTTTATTTTGATAACAATGTTACAATTTGATTTTGAGAACCATTCCAAAACAATAAATTAAATAATTTGTTAGAATTTAAAAGTGAAAAGACACTAATAATATAGATGGGGAGATGTATGTTATATGTGCATAATAACTCAGAAGCCCAATGAAGAATTGGGAAATAAAATATTTCCTTATTGCCCAAAGTTAATATTTATCATCACGAGTTACTAGAATTCATTATATTGAAGGGATAAGCCCCCGCTCCAGGAAATTAGGTTTCCCTTAATTGTACATTGGCTATCTTTTACCAAGAGTAGTTGACTGATTTTAGTATGAATGATGGTAGAACCAAATCAGTGAATTGAGAAAGTAAATGTGAGGTTCTTTCTTGGGATTGTCCAGTAATTCTTGTGAGAATTTTAACTGCCTGTGAACCTAAGCTTTTTCATAAGGCAGGGTTAGGGTTTCATGTTTAGGGTTTGATTTAAGAAAAATGTTAAAGAAAAGCTAGCTGCTCTTGACCAAAAAGATTCTGCATGCTTTAAGCAACAGATATGTATTTAAGCACCTCTATATTTATATTTGAATCACCTTTATATTTATGCTATTAAAATATTATTTTAACAAATCATCTTATGGATATTTAATTTATTCAGGATTTCCCCTATATGATCATTTTTCATTTGAAGACAAAGAAATATACTGAATTAAGTCCTTGAATCATATATAGGACCTTTAAAAATTTAAAGCAATCAAATGCTTCTCCCAGCAGTAGCAGATTCTCAGTCTATAAGACAGATGAAAGCTGATTTGCCATAGCCTCTCTTCACTCAGTTTGTTTTCCTGAGAAACCTTCTAGGAACCCAGAGCTCTAAGAAACAGTTTGCAAACCATGGATCTAATCTACCTCCTTCATCTTCTAGGTAAGAAACCTGAGGCTAGAAAGCATAAGTGACTTGATCAAAGTCTCAGAACCACTTAGCAGAAGAATTGAGCCTACGATTCTAGATTCAGAATTCTTTCTGTTTTCCAGCACACCTCTTTACAGTAAAAACTCCATGCTGCCACTCACATTTCAAATGAAAAATCATTGACTAAAACTCTGGGTGGCATATCACTACATTAAGGTACACAAACACATACATATACTCCAGAGAGAAGAGATCCAGAGGAAGAGAAACCACCTTGTTCTCTTCTTCTGGATGACATGGTGACGCTAAGACTGCAGCAATCTGTTGACCTGGGGAAATAATGCACTTAGGCCTACCAAGTTCATAGGTAACCTATGAAGAGCTGTCTCTTTCTGCTCTAGCAGTGGTGGCAGCAATGGCAGTAGTAGGGGATGTGGAGTGTCAGGACTAACTCTGAATTTAAAGAAAAGAGGAGGTAGGTAATGACAACATTGGAGTCCATTGAGAATGAATGGGAAAAATGAGATGACTAATTAGTTGTTCTATCCAAACATTGGTAAAAATGAAGCAATGTTCTGATACACTGTGCCCTCAGCTGCCTAATAGGGGTGGAGACAGGTCAGCATCTGTGACTATTTAGTTCGTTTGGGTCAAACATGATGGTGGGTAGCCCAGCACTCCCATCCCTGTAAGAACCATGCTACCTTCAGATCTCTTGACAGAGACAGAACAACTTTCTTACAGATTTGGCAAAGTGTAATGGGATCAGCTCAATTTGAAGGTTGATGACCTACTGACCATGCCATCAAAACTGCTTTTGTCAGGGTTACCAATGACGTTCACGTTTCTAGATCCAACAGTCAGTTCTCAGTACTCATCTGTGATGAGTTAGTTGACACGGCACATAATCCTCTCCTCCTTAATCTACTTTCTTCACTTGGCTTCCAGAACAATATACTCTTTAAGCCTTCTTCCTATCCCACTGGTCACTCTTTTTAGGTCTTTGTATGTTTCTCATCATCTTTTCTGACCTCTTAATATTGGAATGGCCCAGGGTTTATTTAGTACAGGTACCTCTTCTGTTTTCTGTCTGAACTCCTTGTTGGTATCATCTAGTCCCAGGGCTTTTAGAAGGGCACTTGTTGGGACGAGCACTGGGTGTTATATGTAAGTGATGAATCACAAACTTCTACTCCTTAAACCATTATTACACTATATGTTAGCTGACTTGGATTTAAATAAAGTTAAAAAAATAAAAAATACCTTTTATATGCTGATGATTCCCAAATTTATACTCCCAACCCTAAATGCAACTGCTTATGTGACTTCCTCATTTGGGTATCTAATAAACGTCTCAAACTCAATTTGGTCAAACTCTAATCCCCTGTATTTCTCCTTGAATATGTTTTATCTTCAATCCTTCCCATCTTAGCTAATAACTTCATCTTTTGAATTGCTTATGCCAAAACATTTGGGTTATCCTTGACTCTTCTCTTTCTCCCACACCTCACATCCAGGAAGCTCTGGTGGCTTTGCCTTCAGATACTCTCAGAATCTGACCACTTCTCACCATGTTTATTGTTGTCACGCTGGTCTAAACCACCATCGTCTTTCTCCCACTTTATCACTGAAGCACTACCTGCTTGTTCCCCCTGTGGATACATTAAATACGGAAGTCCAAGCAGACCACTTCTCTTCTCAAAACCTTGCATGGGTTTCCGTTCATCAGCCTATGTCATTACAGCGGCCTGCAGATGCTTGTTGTCTACTCCTCCTCACATTTGCTACTTTCTTTTTATTTTTTTAAATTTTTTAAAATTTTTTTCTAGGAGAGAGAGAGAGACAGCGTGAGCAGGGGAGGGTCAGAGAGAGAGGGAGATACAGACTCTGAAATAGGCTCCAGGCTCTGAGCTGGCAGTCAGCACAGAGCCCGACGCGGGGCTCGAACCCACGAACCATGAGATCATGACCCAAGCGAAAGTCGGACGCTTAACCGACTAAGCCACCCAGGCGCCCCTCACATTTGCTTCTTTCACCTTCTATTCCTGTCACTTGTCTCTTGCTCATTCCACTGAGATCTGGGGGCATCCTTACACACCAGACACACTCTATTTTGGACCATTTACTCTGGCTCTTCCCCTTCCCTGGAATGCCATTCCCGTGGAGACCTCTGTGCCCGCCTCCTTGATCTCCCTCCAATTCTTTGCTCCGTTATCATTTTGTCTAGGAGACGTGCCCTGATCCTCCTATTTAATAGTACAGTTTACCTCACCCACACATTCTTCAGTACTCTCACCTCCATGGGCCCCCGGCGTGCTCTACTCCTTTGTTTTTCCGTTGTATTTCCACTTTCTTATATCCCATAACATTAATTTTAGATTATATTTATTGTTTGGTGACTGTCTCTCTTACTAGAATGTAATCTTCCGGGTGGGTGTTTATGAACAAATCAAACACGTTTGTGTATTTGGTCTACGGGTGTATTACAAGCACTTCGATCAGAGACTGCATATAATAGGCAGCCGATAAATAGCTATAACATGCAAGAATTTTCAGAATGAAGGAATAAACTGAAAGTACATTATCACTATAGAACTCTGAATAGATGGAAAAGAGATGGAGGTTGTTTTGTTTTGTTTTGTTTTTTAATTAAAGGAAATTATCTGCTAGGAACCTAAAACCCACAGTATAGAAGTTAGCTTTTACGGTATCAAAGAACCTCACCTCAGAATCTCACTGGCAAACACAGTAGGCATCTATTGCATGGCAGGGAGATCGGCTGGGCGACTGCTGGGCTCACTCGTATGTCTGGCTCTTCTGGCTGCAGGGGCTGGGATGAACTCCGTTTTGCTTTGCATGTCCCTCCTCTGCCAACAGGCTCATGCAGGCATATCCTCATGGTGACCGCAGAGGCATAAAGGAGAAAAGCCCCACGTCACTAGCCCGTTTCAAGCCTTTGCTTGCAGTATCTGCTGATACCCTATAGGCCAAAGCAAGTCAAATGGCTGAGTTCTTTGGCTTGCAGGGGTTGAAAAATTAGGGCCATTTCTGTAATTTATCACAACCAGAAATATGACCTTTTTAAATTTTGGACTGAAAAATAATTACCAAGTCCTAAAACCTCAGACGTGGGAGGGAGGGGGAGGGGAACCAATGGGTTAATTTCCTCTTCCTCACTCAGTGTGGGAATCCTGATGTCACATTCCTGACAACGTATGTTGGAGTGGTACAAACAAATGGGTATTATCATGCCTCTCTTAGATGCATGATGAGTGGACACAGTGGGTGAGAAAAACCCCAAAGTAGATGTGAGCCGGTATCCTGGAAATACATGCGCTCGTTTCAGATATGCTGGATTTCACTGATTTATTCAGATGCGGGGTTAGTGTCTGTATGTGAATGTGACAGTTGCTCACAAATGCAATTTAGAAAGCGGTTAAAGGTAAGGCTATTTAATATTTCAGTAGGAGTTTCCTGCATGTTATAAAATCAACCAAAGAATGTTGAGAATCCTATTTTTTTAATTTGTTATAATTAGAATACTATTTTAGTTATTTTATACTGAAGTAATTTTGTGGCTTATTTAGAGGTCAGTTTAGTTCTTAAAGGAAGGAAAGAGGGATCTTCATTTACTTTTCTAAGAATGACCCGGCAAGTTTGAGGGAATGCTGGCAGGTTTTTGAAGCCAGGCAGAAATTTCAGGACGCCTCTCTCTTGTTCCTCTAATTTGCTCTTGCGAAAGTAAATTGGCCTTGAAATGATGTAGAGACCCTTTCCTGTGGATCGAAGTTATAAAATGTAGAATTTGGGGGACGGTAAATTATATGAATGAATTGCTGCTTTTAAGTTCTATAAAGCTAAGACTTCATGAATTTTCACGTGTTTACTTTCAATTTCAGTGATTGTGATAAGGATAATGAACGGTGCTTAGAGCTGAAGAGGACTTAAAGTCACCTATCTCCACCTTTCGGTTTTTCAGCTTCTTTTTCGTGTCCCAAGTCACACAGCTAGTTAACTGCTCAGACAAGAGGTCAAGACTCATGACTCCTAGTTCAGTGCTCTTTTCATTGTCCTGCACTGCCTCAAAGACCCGTCGTGATTTAGATGATCATCAAAGATAGACACATGCAAAAGTAAAGTATTAACATCAGATAGTTCACAATTATGACTTAGGAACAATTGCTATGGACACAAAATACTACTCTTCTTCAACAAGAACGTTAATCAACACATTTGGCTTAGTTGCGTAGCCGTGGTACCAAAATGTATTTATATGGTGATGGATATTCTTTAAAGAGTTACTTAATATTTAATTATTTAATATTGCTTAATATTTAATATAATTTTAAAAAAGGACATTTTCTCCTTCAGGCCACAGGTTTCCAGTATTTTCCAATAACAATTTCTATATTTGTTGTAAAGCCCTTTTGTTTTCTTTTTTAAATGTTTAGACAATACAGATTTAAGAAAGGACAACTCTGCCAGATAGCAGGAGGCCTGGCTAAGGATTAAGTGTGTGAGCTGTTTCTTCTAAGGACCTTTGGACAGATCGCTTTATTCTTCTGGACTCAGTTCTCAGTTTTGACAAATTATGGGCTTAGGACTCAGTGGCCTCTAAAGTATCTCTCCAATCTTAAATTTTATGATGCACAGTCTAAGTTCAAATTAATACTGAAGAGGTCAGACTCTGAAGGCAAAGATAGTGGCTATGCATTTCTGGATATGAGAAATGACCTCAACAGCCATCGTATTTATGTTGAAGCTAAATCTGCAGAGCAACTAGCAACAGGAAAACCCTGTTGGAATGGACAGAGCTATTCTCTTCACTAATGAGTACAGAAAGAGAATCTCTCCTGAGTGCGAGATTTGCACAAAACTCAGTGCGAATCTGCCAGCATGATGGTTGAACTATAAAAGGTGGCCATGATATCACTATCAATTATTTAGCCACATAAATGAAAGAATTCCAGAACCAAGTTTGTTGAGGTAGGTTTTCCATATAACTAAGCCCTTTTCTGTTGTTAGAGATGTAATACTTATGCCTAAGATATGGGTCCCAAGAACTGGTGACACTTTCTAGTTTCTGCCTCGTGGAACAAAGGAAAAGGCTCAATAGTGACTTTTGAGATGTTCCTGATTGTCACCTAAAGTAGTCTGGTGATGTTTGCTTGAAAACTTATCCAGTAAGTGTAAACCAACACACCGGTGGTCAGACTTTTGAGAAATCTGTACCAGCCCTGAGAGAGATCCTAAGGTAAAGTGCGGAGTTGTGTATAAAGAAAAGGCTGGTTACCCCTTGAGGGAACATGTAGTTGAGTTTAAACTTGACCGAGCAAATAAAAGTTAGTGAGAAGCACACAGAATTATACTTAGGTGTTTATGTCTTCAGAATTTACTTTAAAAGCTGACTATTATTGTATTTATTTTGTAATAACTCATAGAAATAGTCTCACAGAAAATACTCTTCTGTGAAAACACCAAGTATCCTTCAGGCTATTCTGAGAATCGAATGTATGAGTTATCTTTTGATAGATATGAATTGGTAGAGGTTAGGTGTTATTATTCATATGTGGTACTTAGTTTTCAAAATCTGACTAGAGATGTGTGATCTTGAACAAGATACTTAAACTTTCCAAACCCCAGGTTCTTCATTTTGTCAAATGAGGATAATAATAATTCCTAATAAGCTTGTGCAGGGATGAAGGTATAGCCTTCAGTATTGTATTTGGCTTTTATCCAACCATAAAATTGGTTACAACAGGTAATAAAGAGTGCACACAATTTTTGCCGTATGTACCTAATCTAATGTCCAAATAAAATACAATTCCACTATACTATCACCATCATCACAGTCAGTCAAGAATTATTAACTAATTAGTATTCTGTATTTTGTTCAATGTAGATAACCAGCAGTATGTAAAATGCAGTGTCTAGCAGCAGGGAACCTACAATTTGCCTCTTGTATACCCTGGCATTCAAACTTCTCCACCCGCTAAATCACACCTATTTTTTCATGCTTCTTTCCTACTTTCCTAAGAAACTTTTTGCTGCTCATTGACCACAGAACATACCTTGTCCCTTTATGCCTCCCTTCAATCCAAAGTTGGCTATTAATACTTTATTTATTAGTAATGCATTTTCCTGTTTACTAAAGCCCCTCTCTTTAACTCACTTAGGACTCCTTGGAAAGCATCCCCTTTTTCCTCTTGAAACCTAATAATATTTTCCCTCTGTGCTGATCAGAAGGTCAGGTGGGCTGCTGTGAGAGCCCCTCTGTTAATCCAGGTACTGAACTTTTTGATCTCTGACCACTTGAAGACAAGATTGACACATTGGCATGGGGTCTGTTCCAACTGCTAGAGAGCCCTTTGCACCATCTTGGCACTTGACTCCTGCTTGACCTCAGCTCCGTTGATTTTAGCATTTACTGCAACACGTGCCCTCTGCCTCCTCCATTTCTCATCTTTGACGTGACCCCATCTACACAGAAGCTTTGATTTTTTTACTTCTGGCTTGTTTCTCTGACTGCTTATTTTCTCTCATTGGTAGAGTTGATTGTGTACGGACTTTGCTTTTACTTCCCCATAGAGATGCCAACCACCTAGTCCAGGCTCAGCACTGTCCCCAGGTTTCCTCTGCTGCCTCTTGAGTGGCAGAGTGCTCATGCCAGTTGTTGTCTGGACCTTTGTGCTGTTCTACCCGCACCCGGCCAACTACCTGGTACTGCCTATAATCTGTCTTTTACTGAACACTTACTTGCTTCACCTTCTCTGTGCCAGATAGTTGAGCCAAGCTAACAACTTGGCATTGTGTCTTAAAAATGTTTATCTCATATCTTTCCAATTAGATTTTTAATTTCTATAAGGACAGCCATATGCCTGTTTTATTCACAGCACAGTGATGTTTTTGTAAATAGTTGTTATTGATGGTGAGTTTAATCATAACAGAAAAAGGAGAAGAGGTGGCTTATTTTAGTGGGCAGGTGAACAGTTCCCTTGGCCTAAGTCTATTCTTCAGATCATATAAGCATGACTGATTAACACCACTACTATAATTATCTCCCTCTCTCTCTCTCTTCCTCCCTCTCTCTCCTTGTGTACGCATAGACTGGTGGAAAATTTATTGTTCAGTTTTGAACATGAAAAGTAATAACACCAAGTACTACAACCATCATAAAGAATAAATAAAATTATACATTAAGTTAAAGAAAAGCTCTTTTTTTGATTTATTTATTTTGAGAGACAGAGATAGCCCAAGTAAGGGAGGGACAGAGAGAGAGAGGGAGAGAGAGAATCCCAAGCAGGCTCCATGCTGCCAGCACAAAGCCCGATGCGGGGCTCGGACCCCCAAAACCACAGGATTATGACCTGAGATGAAACCAAGAGTTGGATGCTTAACTGAGCCACCCAGGTGCACCAAAAAAAAAAAAAAAAAAAAAAAGCTCATTTTAAAGCTCATTTTAGGGGAGTAAAAAAATCCATTTCCAGAATTATTAAGTTAAAATAAACTAAACTCCATATCATTGAATTATTTTAATAATATTTGGAATCACAGAAAAGCTGAACTGGTTTGGTGGTGGCTGAAAGTCTTTATAGGTATTTGTTTGGAGAAAGAAGTTCTAGATCGAGTGTCTGTATTGTTGAATGTCAACTTCCATTTTTCCCTTTTAGCCTAATTCTTATGTTTATTATATTGTTTTGTGGAGGATTCAAAAATATGCCTTTTATGCTGTATGTGGGGTTTCCTGTAAAATATTAGTTGAGGTATGGCGGTTCCATCATGCATTTTCTTTTTTTTTTTTTTTTTTTTTTTTTTTTAATGTTTTTTTTTTTTTTTTGAGACAGAGCACAAGTCAGGGAGGAGCAGACAGAGAGGGAGACACAGCATCCGAAGCAGGCTCCAGGCTCTGAGCTGCCAGCACAGAACCCAATGCGGGGCTCAAACTCACAGATGGCGAGATCATGACCTGGGCTGAAGTGGGATGCTTATCCCACTGAGCCACCCAGGCGCCCCCCATCATGCATTTTCTAGATACTCTTTCTTGCATGCCGATACTAGTTCAATTTTTTTCTAATGTATTCACACAGTCTGATTCTCTCTCCCTCTCTCAATATGGTTTTAATTCATTACATAAAAGTTTAAAAAAATACTTTCAAGCATTTTTAATAACAACTGAGTTTGGAATAACCGTGTTTGCTCCAGTGCTGAGGTTCCCCAGGTATTAAGTGGAGTCCTTCCCCAAATTAAATGTACATGTGGAATTGAGTCACTTCACATGGATTCCACAGCCCCCCCAGGAGATGTGACTTTCTGGCTTGTGGTAGTGGTAACGGGTCAGAAAAAGTGCCCATCAGTATCTATCATATATTCATAAGGAATCGTCTGATACAAGGACAGATAACAAAACTAAACAAATAGAAGAACAAACCCTAGCAAGATAAATTTTAAAAATACTGAGCATATTTAAAAAAGAAAATACTTCAACAAAGCACCCGGGTCCAATTAAAGAATACAGAAACAGGAAAAGGCAGAGCTGGATGGAGGAAAGCCACGTAGGGCACAGCCCTGAGAGAGCATCTTGAGGGGCAGTGGATGAAATGATACTACTTTGAAAGATAGAGCGGGAAAAAAGGAAGTAAAAGGACTAACAAGGGAATTGTGTTCAGAATGTGCCCGGAATGCTAGAAGCGATAAGAACAGAGGACGATATGAAATGCAAAGTGGGTGCACATCACTGAACTACACAGAGAGCTGATGATAGTTCAGGCAGAGCAGGTGGCCCTAATGATAGGAGAAAATAGATTTGAACTTGAAAGAATTGGATGTTATAGGAAAAGACACCAAGGCATATCAAATAAAGAAATATTCCTTGTAGCTAAAGACCTAGATTTGGGGCATAATCCTCAAAACCAGTCTAGACTAGTAGAATCTGCTGTTCCATTAGAGAGAGAGAGAGAGAGAGAAACTTTTATGTTAAAAGCAAGATGTTAAACTGTTCCAAGAGTTTACATCTCCATATTTGAGGCATCTAAGGACTTAAGAAAGACATACAGAAATTAAGAAAGATTCCTGAACACCATGAGCGTAACTTATAGGCAGGCTCACTTTTCTATTTGAAAGCAGACAGATATTAGCTGAAGCCTTACACTAAAATATAATGACTTTAAAGATTTGGTGAAAATCTAAATCAGGCCTCATTGATAGGTCCCACACACACATCTGAAAAGATGATGGAAGACAGATGTGAGACATTTAAAGGGTAACAGATGAACTAATTAACAAAAAGTTGATGTTAAAAGGTAAAATAAATGATTACACTAGATACCATTTTTAAAAAGTTTTAAGAGATTGAGAACTCTCATATGTTTAAAAAACTTTTTACACAGATGGTAAAACAGTTTGAGGAGAATAAATCCAATCAAAGAACTCTGCATCCTGCCTGAGAATGACAGAGTTTACTTAGTCGAGTGAGGAAATTAAACTGCGTTTTTTTTAAGATGGCTGTTTTTAAGAAACTGTATCATTAAGATTAATTTTGATTTAAGAAACAAGCAGTTTAAAACCCTGAAAGGGAAATAAAAAATACACAATTGCCATGAAAAATAAATTGAAAGTGAATTTTATCTAGGACTTATAAATATATTTAAAATTAAGTGAAACTGGATTAGGCAAGTGTTAAAAATAATGAACTAGAGTTTTTAAAAAAAGGTCCCTTAAATTGACATCTATAACAGCTCTGAATTTTAATGTCCAAGTACTATTAGCAACAAAATACCGGCAAGAAAAATGTACAGAAACATTGGATTGTCTTTTCTTATTGATTCTTCAGAGTTCTTTGTATATTCTGGATCCTAAGATTTTTATTTATTTTATGTCTTGCAAATGTATTCTCCTAGTATGTAGCTTGTCTTTGTTTTGTTTATTGTGTCATCTATTTTGTAGAATTTTAATTTTAATTTTTTAAGGTATGAAATTTATCATTCTTTTTTCTTTACAGTTTGAGCTTTGAATTCTGTTAATAAATCCTTCCCTGTCTGAACACTGGAAAGTTATTTATCTATGTTCTGCTTTAAAAGTATTCAAGTACTATTGTTTCATTTTGTTACTTATTCCAACTGAAAGAGAATTTTGTTTATGAAATGAGGTAGGGATATACTTTTTTTCCATCTGGATGACCAAATTAATTCAGAGCTATCAATTAAATAATACATTATTTTTTCATTGATCTATAAAGCTGTCTCTATTATCTCTGAAGTTCCTGTGTATGAGAATTTGATTCTGAGCTCTCTTTGCTATTTTTTCCCCTCTATATGACTTCACTAAAACCAGTTTCAATTTCCATAACTTTGTAATTACTTTGACTTTATAATCTTCCTTAGAAAGGACTTTGTTCTTCTTCGATATTATTTTGGCTATTTATGGCTATTTTTGCTTCCAGTGGAATTTTTAAATTAAATTTTAATGAAATTGCATTGAATTTACAAATTAATTTAGGGAGTATTGACATCTTTGTGGTATTTAGTCTTCCTAGCCATTGACATTATAAAGCTATTTTTTTTCAGGTCTTTTTAAATGACCTTCAGTAATATTGTAAAATTTCCTCCCAAAGCCGGCTCTTCCACATTTAAAAAAATATTCCTAGGCATCTCATTTTACTGATAGTTTTAAGACATATCTTTTAAAAATTGTATTATTGTTTCAGGTATGTCATATATTTTTTAAAAAAATTATAAATTCAGGGTTATATTGCCTATTTATTTGACATATTCCCATGCTATTCAGTATTCTTCAAAACAAGATTTTTAGAGTGGCTATATTAATATTCCGGTATAGATATAGCATACTTTATTTAACTATTTTTAAAATTATTGGTATTTATATTGTTTCTAACTTTCATGATTTTCTTTCCTATTTTAGTATATGTGCTGCTGAAGTGAGCACCTGTGTATTTATTTATTTATGTATTTACTTAGCACTCTGGAGGGACAAAGAAAGAGGGAGATAGAATCCCAAGCAGGCTCCACACTGTCAGCACAGAGGCCTACATGGGACTCAGTCTCACAAACCATGAGATCATGACCTGAGCTGAAATCAAGAGTCACGTGCTATAACCGACTGAGCTACCCAGGCGCCCCTAATTTTCATGATTTTAAACAAGATTATGAACTGCTTTCTTGTTAAATCTTGGGACACCACGATAATTATTTATTTAGGATTCATTCCTAGAACTTGAATTGCTGAGTCAAAATGTATACACTTTTGATATATGTTGTCAAAATGAAGAAAGTAGATTACATATAGTATTTAAGCATTTTAATTTATATAGTTTTGTATTGAGCAATGAAGAAGATAGTAAATGAATGAATGAATGAATGAATGAATGATTCTGAAAGGGTAGATAACAGAGGGTAGCAGCAGTTAGCCCTGGGTAAGAGAATTATGTATGGTTTTTATTTTCTGCTTTTTAAATTCCCTGCATGTTTTCTGTTTTCAACAATGTGCACGAATTATTTATGAGTAAAATAAAAAAACCCACTTTGATAGTCTTATATGGATTTAGTGACATAACATCTCTCCATTTTTTTTTCATTTTTAGGAAACTTTATTCTTGGTAATTCTTTTTCTTTTTATGTCTCTTCCACCCTTTTGGGAGTGAGATTGACCAGCCATCCTACTATAAAACTGTATACATTGTTATTATCGTATTTCGCTGATAAATT